CATCGCTGTCGTTTTCTCGCCGACGGCGAGGTCGCCAGCGCCCTCTCGCCGTCGGCGCTTATCGCCGTCGGCGCCTTGCCGTCGGCGCCTTGCCGTCGGCGCCTTGCTGTCGGCGTCTCGCCGTCGGCGTCTCGCCGTCGGCGCCTTGCCGTCGGCGCCTTGCCGTCGGCGTCTTGCCGTCGGCGTCTCGCCGTCGGCGCCTTGCCGTCGGCGCCTTGCCGTCGGCGCCTTGCCGTCGGCGTCTTGCCGAAGGCGCCTTGCCGAAGGCGCCTTGCCGAAGGCGTCTCGAGCGTGTAGGGAGTACGGCATGAAGGTCTTTCCCCGTATGTTCACTGCGTGGATGCCACTTTGTGTCCGTTCGTGATGTAGTGATGTCGTACATACGTTCGGAGCAAAGTTTCTTGCTGTGGGTGTTTCGTGGCGCGGTGTTTTCCCCTGTTGTGCCGGCAAGCAGCAACAGCAGCAGCGACAGCAAAAGCACAAAGGCAGCAAACTGCAAAGCTAAGGTCAGCAAACTCAGATAGAAGCTGCAAAGCCGGCCGATGGTTATTGTTGCGGTGTTCAGTGTCTTGTATTTGTGCGCAATTGTATGTATGTATGTTTGTTTGTTTGTATGTAGGTATCTGTTCAAATGTGGGCGAGAATGTGCTCACGCGCGCGCGTGTGCGTGTGTAAGTGTATGTAGGTGTGTGTAAGAGGGTGCATGTGTGTGTGCATGCGCGCACGCGTATACGTATGTGTATGTGTGAGGGTGCTCCTGTTTTTACTTGTGATGGAGAATTCGAAACTGCCCGCGATCCGCCTGTGTGCGTATTAGTACGTTTCTGCATATTGTGCACAACTGCCCATATCGTTTTGCCGTGCAAAGTCTGTGCTCGTTGCGTCCCCTGCTAGCTGATTAACAACGCGCCTGTGTGTGTGTGTATTTCCCTGCCCACCTCCCGCCCGTTCCCGCCACCGGTCTGAGCGAGCCTGGGCGAGGACTTCCAACAGGACAACACGTATCCGTAGGGTTTCAACTAGGTCGGCCGCCTCGCCGTCGGCCGCCTCGCCGTATGCCGCCTCGCCGTCGGCCGCCTCGCCGTCGGCCGCCTCGCCGTCGGCCGCCTCGCCGTCGGCCGCCTCGCCGTCGGCCGCCTCGCCGTCGGCCGCCTCGCCGTCGGCCGCTTTGCCGTCGGCCGCCTCGCCGTCGGCCGCCTCGCCGTCGGCCGCTTTGCCGTCGGCCGCCTCGCCGTCGGCCGCTTTGCCGTCGGCCGCTTTGCCGTCGGCCGCCTCGCCGTCGGCCGCTTTGCCGTCGGCCGCCTCGCCGTCGGCCGCTTTGCCGTCGGCCGCCTCGCCGTCGGCCGCCTTGCCGTCGGCGCCTTGCCGTCGGCGCCTTGCCGTCGGCGCCTTGCCATCGGCGCCTTGCCGTCGGCGCCTTGCCGTCGGCGTATTGCCGTCGGCGTCTCGCCATTGGCATCTCGCCATTGGCGTCTCGCCATGGACGTCTCGCCATGGACGTCTCGCCGTCGGCCGCCTCGCCGTCGGCCGCTTTGCCGTCGGCCGCCTCGTCGTCGGCATCTCGCCGTCAGCTTTCAGCGTTTCCACGTCACGGTTTGTCGTACCTCCGGTGAGTCACGCGCTAGTTAAACGCATCCCTTGTCTGTGCGATGCATTTCCTTGTTGACGCTGCCCTATGTACGTCATTGTACAATTTTGCAG